CCTGGGCTCAAGCAATTCTTTTGCCTCAGCCTCTCAAGTAGCTGGGACTATAGATATCCACGAAAATGCCTGGCTATTTTTAGAGATGGGGTCTCACTCTAGCTCAGACTGCTCTAGAACTCATGAGCTCAGGCAATCCACCCACCTTGGCCTCCCAGAGTGCTAGGTTACAGGCGTAAGCCACTGCACCTGGTCAATTTTTCTATTTTTAGTAGAAATAGGGTCTAGTTCTTGCTCAAGCTGATCTCTAACTCCTGAAGTCAAGCAATCCACCCGCCTAAGCCTCCCAAAGTGCTAGGATTAGACGTGAGTCACCACACCCACTGGGGTCCACATTTTTAGTTCTTAAGAACACAAATTCTGGGCGGCGTGTGTGGCTCAAAGGAGGAGGGCACTGGCCCCATATGCTGGAGGTGGTGGGGTTCAAACCTAGCCCCAGCCAAAAATTGCAAAAAAAAAAAGAACACAAATTCTAGGACACACACAGTGGCTCATACCTGTAATGTTAGCACTCTGGGAGGCTAAGGTGGGAAGAGCCTTTGAGCTCAGGAGTTTGAGACCAGCCTGAGCAAGAACAAGACTCTATCTCTAATAAAAAGGAAGAATTAGCCAGGTGTTGTAGCAGGTACCTGTAGCCCCAGCTACTCGGGAGGCTGAGGTAAGAGGATCGGTTGAACCCAAGAGTTTGAGGCTGCTGTTGAGATATGACACCATGGTACTCTACCCAGGGTGACACAGTGAGACTCTGTCTTAATAAAAAATAATAAAAATGTGGGCCCCCAAATGTGGCACCTGTTCACATACACTGTGGTACCAAATTCCATAGCCCCACCCTAGATGGTAAACTCCCTGGACGGTGACATCCACTTCTTAGTCTTGGGTAGAGAATAGAAAGCTGCTGTGCTCAGGCTCTGATGTCCCAGAGATCTAGGTTCAAATCCCAGCTCTTGGCTCAGCGCCTGTGGCTGAAGCAGCTAAGGCGCCAGCCACATACACCTAAGGTGGTGGGTTCGAACCCCCAGCCTGGGCCCGCCAAACAATGATGGCTGCAACCAAAAAAAAAAATTGGCCGGGTGTTGTGGCAGGTGCCTGTAGTCCCAGCTACTTGGAAGGCTGAGGCAGGAGACTCTCTTGAGCCCAGGAGTTGGAGGTTGCTGTGAGCTGTGATGCCATGGCCATGGCACTCTACCCAGGGGGATAGCTTGAGGCTCCGTCTAAAAAAAAAAAAAAAAAAAAATCCCAGCTCTTAATGCCCTATAAAGGCTGGTGTAACCTGGATAAGCAGTATCCCCCTCTGAGTCTTAGGTCTGTTATGCGTAAAATAAAGTTAATAACAGATTCTACTTTATAGGGGAGCTATGAGGCTTCCATAAGGGAATCCACATACAGTGCTCAGCCAGCGGAGTCAGCACATTAAAATGCCAATAGTTAACTGTTACTCTAGCACATGTTACTGTCTCCCCTAGCACATGACTACAAAAATGCTTATGATAGCCTGGGTGTTTCTCCATGGAATCTCTAAGCTTCAGAGGTTGGTGACACCCTAAGAAAGAATCAAGGGATAGGTATGCTGTCCCCAGCCCCCATACCTTGGTGAGATGAGCTTCGTACATGCTGGTGAGGAGACCGCATCCCCGTCCCACGCCGAACACTGAAAGACAGCCAGCCTCATCTCATACCTAGCACCAGCTTCCCATCCCCTTAGGAAACCCCATCCCCACCACTGCAATTAGAATATTCCCTTCTCTGATGCTACAAAGCCAGCAAGAGGCCAAGATCTTCTATAGGAAACAAGCAAGGTCCCCTGGGCATGTCAAAATGTGGATTTGTGGACAGCTTCACCCAAAGACCTGAATCTGACTCAGGTGGAAAGGGAGCTTGGTATCCTTAGTAAAGAGATTTTAATATATTAAAAAGAGATCACTGACCCAGTCCTATGACCTGCCCTCAAATCAGAAATCGCTGTGAGCATAACTTTTAACTTCTTTGGCCACAAGCACATAAGTAAAATGTATGTATAAATAGTATCTTATCCCTACAAGTGTTGTGCAAATTGAAGGAGGCAACTGTGCTGGCCATGCACAGTGGCTCACAGATGGGCAACATAGTGAGACCTTGTCACTACAGAAAAC